ATCCTACAGGCAGAATAAATAGATCTAACTCTCTTGTTTTCCTGTTTTTCTTCTTTTTTTTTTAAAGGCACAAACCGCTACTTCCAAAGAGTCGCAGCTGAAGTTGGTCTGGACGTAACTTTAACCGACTTCACCAAACCAGAGCTGCTCAAGGCTGCTCTGAAGCCAAACACTAAGGTAGTTCCTGGAAAGATATGATAAGCACAATCTCTTAGCATGAGTCAGCGCGTTGCGTAATGATGCGATCCAGTTGAGCTGGAATGCGTGTGACTCATCTGTCTTTCTCCATGTGCTGCTGTGATGTCACAACTTCCGGTTTCTCCTCTGTTACAGTTGGTGTGGATGGAAAGCCCAACCAACCCCATGATGAAGGTGGTGGACATCAAGGCCTGTTCTGACTTGGTGCACGAGCACAACAAAGACATAGTGGTGGTGGTGGACAACACCTTCATGTCAGCTTATTTCCAGGTGAAGTGTTGGGTTTGAACCGTTTCCTGCGCTCGTATTTCAGTTGGTGTGTTCAGGACTGATTAACTCATGTGTTTGTCTCCTGCACCCCCTCAGCGACCCTTGACTCTGGGAGCTGATATCTGCATGTATTCAGCCACCAAATATATGAACGGTAGGTTCATTTATACCTGCGTTTTAAAACCTGCTTTTACTTTAACCTGAGCTACATAAACATAACTTGAACCGTCGCAGACCGTTTCAGTATCAGGAAGTTCTCCGCATCTGTTGCTGTGCAAGTTTTGGTTTCATACCCCTCCCTTTGGTATCTTTGAAAAGAGGAAGCTCTCACGAATTCAGGGATATATCTTGACACTGTGTTACTCTTTGTTTGGTGACGTGAAGTTTGTGYRTAACCGAGAGTATAAATAACAGCCCTCATGCGTAAAACGTCGAGGCGGAGTGATTTCATGGTGTGCACAGTGGTAGAATTTGATGATGCACAGTGTAAATGTAAAAAGAAAAGGTTATGTCAAATGCAGAATGAGTCCTACAAAAGAAATCAACACTTTTATTAAACCAGATTCTCTTTTATAAAGTAAAAAAAAAAAAACATTTGGCACAGTTTTGGGTACATTTGGCTAAATTGTGCCAAACTGCAATTTCCGCCTGGCACACTGCTCACTAAAACCTTTGTGAAATGAATATACTTCAACTTATTCAGCCT